AAATTGAAATTTTGGATGTGCTATGTATATCGCGAGAAAACAAGCTCAACCAATCAGGCGTCAGTAGGGACCGTCAGTACCGTGACTTTAAGAGAAAAAACATCGGCGACGGTACCGTTGCAGGAGACACAGCCATTAGATTAATACAGAGTATTGTGATACATAGTAAGTTTCAGAATAGCGGAGAAAGGTTCGTGTTGAGAATAAACCCAGTTTGGAAGTTCTAGTCTCTGAAAACGCACCAGCAAACCGCCCTGAGTGATTCACTCAGGGGTTCCTCCACACAAAAGGATACACTCGCGTTGTAACCCTATCCTGTCACGTGTTTGCCATTAGGGTTACATTATGATTATAATTTATTGTATCCAAGTGGCTAGCCACAAGTTCCCATCTCGCTTAACACTACGTGGCGAGAGGGGAGGCTCCTCCGCTTTGTAACAGTCGGAGAGCCTGGTCGGTTTACTAAGTGGCGTGCGTGCGGTGTAATTGTGTTGTAGAGGCGAATTTGAACGCCATTTACAGGAAGTTATCGGCAATAATAGGCAAAACTGCCAAAAGAGAGTAGAGAAACATTAAGACTTTGGTAGTAAAATTTATTTCGTGTTTATTTACTATTGACTATTGTATTTTTTTATTGAGACCGAGACGTTCCAAGTGCCTGTGGCTGTGTGGGAACGATCCGTGTGAACAGAACACGCCGTCGCGGTTGTGATTATTTAATTTTATAGCAAAAGTTATATTATGTAGCATCAAATCTACAGACACGTTAAAATGAACCTATAATATATTGCGTAAACATACCTCAAAGACACGGAAATGCACTCTAAAACTACAACAACCTACTAAGATCATTAGGATTATAAATCACACACAGAGTACAACCGGCAACAGTAATACAAAATCTGACGCGGCACCGCCACCTTTCGGATACTTGCGACAATTTAAATTTATGCGCGCGCGTGTATGCCATGGCCATTTAGACCGAATAATTCTGTCCCATATAACCTTTTTTATATTTTGGTGAGAGTTATATTGGTATATATAAATAATATAACCCTCACTAATATAACCCCCCCCCAATATAACCCTCACCAAAATATAAAAAAGGTTATATGGGACAGAATTATTCGGTCTAATGCCTAATGGCCATTATGCCATGGTTTACCATCAAATGGCATCATACTCAGAAATAATTATTTTACCGCGGTAAAAATAATTCAACCGTTGTCATTATGGGCGCAAGTACAGTTTCCTACTACGTCATGGGGGTAGGAAACAGTACTTGTGCCTCATTATGATTTATGTAAATACCCAACATTATAAAAATGTAAAGTAAGCGTGAGCCTATTAAAAATTATTACTGATTAAAAATCTTTATGACGTCACCACCAACCGCATCAGCGATTGAAGCGCCATGCGCGAAGTGACATCAAAATCAACAACTACAAAACTACTGTTTTAACTTGCGATTTGTGTTGATGTTTGGCCATAGACTAAGATTTTTCGTTTATTGACATTTTGTGTGGCCTTGTTACCCGACGATGTGTCTGAAGTAAAAGTACGACAGCGTTCTTATATCTTATAGGCAGTGGCTACGGGTACGGGAGTCCATTCGCTTTCATACTTAACGAGACAAAGATGGCGGCGGTGGCGCCAGATTTCGAAATAACGCCTTGGGCTCATAACCTCATAACCTCATAAC